AGATGTTACGAGAGAGCTCATTTCACAATAGACAACAGAAGTGTTACGTGACTTTCTACAAGGAGGGGACTCAAGCTTGGAAATCGAGTACCGGTAGTCATTATTCTATGGTTGTTCTCTGCCTTGACGCGGTAGCTGTTCAGCCATCCGAGGTAGACACTGTGAGGAACTGGACAATGGATGGATTGGGGGGGGGGGGGGGTGGGGGTAGGCATGCAGAACTGGCCTACTATGTTTGTATGTACCTACTGGATAAGGACCCTCCATCACTAGAGGTAAAAATAATGAGAGACTACAAAGAGGGGAAGGCATATAGTTATTTTGCCTTGTGAAAAAATTAGATTTAGCCCCTAAAAAAGTGTTCCTTCGGGTATCAAATGACGACAGGTGAAACCTTACAGTTGTAGAATTGTTATCTGTAATGTGATTTCCAAACCATGTGACAGCAAATGGTGTATGGTGTATGTTGTAAAGGTATTGTAAAATGCATTGTTTAACAATGTATAACAATGTTTAAACCGAGATGGACGTATGGCCCTACGTGCTACCAGTGTCTGTGATATGGTGTATTAATACTGAAGCCCTAACATAATTGTGCTTCAAAATGATCAAGAAGTGCCTCTAAAAAGTAAAAATCTTTGTTTGACCCCTTTTACCATACTCGTTTTCCCCAATAAACTGTAGTGTTATGAAAACCGTTTGGCAAACACAAAATTTGGTTTCGATTTCCAATCGTAAATATCTTGATAATCAGACAGGCGATCAGATTGTAAAAGTCATTGAGTTCCTGACTGACCTAAATTTATCATTGCAGCATGAGCTAAATCCAGGATTTTGTTTCAGAATCTGAGAGTAAGTTACCCGATCCCTTTAAATGTGTTTGCATTAAAGGTGGTACCCCCCCCCCCCTTCTCAGCAAAAGTCCAGTGTGTAAAGTCAATACGGGCAGATCTTTTTCTTTGTTACGAGCCAGAGATTTTGGGAACACGCATGCGGTACCTCCGTTCCCGTTCCTGGAGGGGGGGGGCAGGGGTGGTACTACTTCTTCATAAGATGTCAACTTATATGCATTGCATTAAACCTGTTGATATTGATCTAACTTGTATTCATCTCATGGTTATATTTATTTTATCAATAAAATAAAACAACACAGAGAAGGTTGTAGATGAGTACTAAGCAATCATTACTGTATGTAGGACGCCGAGTTGAAGTTATTCATGATTTATTCAAGAGAGGAAGGTCAGACAGATGTTTTAAATATTTAACGAGAGAAAAATCATAGAAACAGAGAGAGGCATCGAGAGAGATGTCGACGCTTAATGAAAGAGAAAGAGTGATAATAAGGAGAGAGGAGAGAGAAAGAGACAGAGAGGGGAGGGAGAGATAGAGAGTGAGAGCAAGAATTAGGTGTGAAGAGGAAGATCTAAGAGAACAAGAGATTAAATTTTACAAATGTACACGTTTCCATGTACCTTTACTTAATTTATATTATAATGTAAACGATATTGTGATGGTCTTTGCTTAATTTTAGTTTGCATTCTTTCCTTTAGCTTTATCTTCTAATTTACTATTCTAATTTAGTAAATGTTAGTATAAATATAATTTTGATTTCTATCTCTTCCCCTATGTCATAGCCTCCATTCTTGCTCTCCCTTCCTCATGTTAGTCCATCTCTCTTTCCCTCTCTCTGTAATGATAACCCCTCTATCAATCTTTTCTCCATCAACTCATGATATGTTCCTCCTCTTCTCCTTCTCGTTCATCATCACAATCATCATCATCATCTCAAAACTGTATTAATCAATCTATAAGACTCTTTAGATTGATCAATACAGTTCTTATAACATATGACCTTTATGTACAAACAATAAACCAAATGGTCACAATCATTTAATAAAAAGTGGTAAGAACAATTATTCCAACTCTATGGGCAACAACGTAATCTCCATTTTCTCCTCCTCGTTCAAATATTAGCTTCTTTTTCATTCATTACTCGTGTTACTTCTCTATCTCTCTGACTATACTCACAAAAAAGTAGAATCAACGGTTTGACATGAAACAGTCTAGAAAATGAACTAAATTTATTCAAGTATCAAATGATTTTGAATTACAGACAGCTTTCTCCCATGAGATGAAAAAAATATCTCCCTAACCAGAAACTGGCAAAATAACTAAATGCCTTTCCCTCTTTGTAGTCTCTCATTCTTCCCTCTAGTGATGGAGGGTCCTTATCTACTAGGTACACACAAATGTCTCTATACATAGTAGACGACCAGCTCTGCAGTCTGCATGCCTTTCTCCCCCCCCCCCCCCCCCCCCCCCCTCTCCATCCATCGTCCAGTTTATCTCTACCTCGGATGGCTGAACAGTACCCCCAGAGTCAAGGCAGAGAACACCCATAAAATAATGACTACCGGTACTCGATTTCCAAGCTTGAGTCCCCTCCTTGTAGAAAGTCACGTAACACTTCTGTTGTCCATTGTGAAATGAGCTCTCTCGTAGCATCTACGTTATCTTCTGATTCATGGGTCATAGTGTTCGATGATGCTGCAACTGATAAATAAAAGGGAAAAGAAAATCAAATTTAAGTTTGTGACCAAAGAACCCTCATCACTTCTTCAACACTAGATCATGTAGCAGACGTGTATGCAGGGGGGAGGGAGTTTCGGGGGTTGAACCCCCCCCTCCTCCAATTTTGTTTAGACTATGTGTGTGTGTGTTTTTGAGGAAACCCCCCCCCCTCACTTTTTTAATAACAAAAATAAATTAAACATTTTTTGTGCTAAAGGGTGACCCAAAAAAGGTGACCTTACCCCCCACCAACTGATCAAAATATCGGTCTCCCAAATTTCATATTTTCGGGGAAAAAAGAAGGAAAAAAAAAGGTGCTCTTACCACCCCCGGCTTATTCACCGGCTGGCCGAGTCGTTGTGAAATTGACTGCGTGATTTTCAAATTTTACCACCCGGCCCCCCCCCCCTCGAAAAAATCCTCCGTACGCCCCCGTCATGTAGATCCTCAAGTAGAGCTCATTGATATCAGACTATTATATTCAGATCCAGATCGAAAAAATCTATCGTTTTCATGGCCTCTTTTACTTTCTTACATTTATAATTTCTAATTGCAATCACTTTCTAGGCCTAACTGTCGGCCATTCTAGTAGACCCTATTCCATTATCAATTATAGGATCTGGAAAGTCTATTCATATTTCCTGAGACATAAATCTCATATTACTGTACATTTCTACCTAAAACACGAGACGAGTGTACTTAAGCAGCTTAAAAGACAATCAGTCTACTTAAAATGCACACACATTTGAACATACGGGACTAGATCTAGGCCTACATTTACTAAAGTTGGATCTCGGCCCACTCTCATTACGTCGTATTATCAGCTTTATTAGTCATAAAAATGAATAACCACAAACTTTGGTTTTCTTACCGTACAAATGATACTGGATTGGAAGAAAATCACTGCAGAATAGCGGACTATGTACAAGATTATGATGTTGATCGATAAGAATCCCGTTGTTTGCAACAGGACAGCTGATCACGGCGAAGGTGAAAATGGACTAGAATTATGTCCCGTGCGTTAGGTTTAACACGCGCCATGCCCCAATCTGTGCCGCATAAAAAAATAACGCGTCCCGGCAGCGAATTTTTTTTCCGTACTCGAGAGAGCAAAAATCCCATGTGCGCATGCGCGTGGACTTATGATTTCTCTGCTACTTCCCATACGAAATGTACATGTATTCGCATGTACTGTGCACGATTCGCGTTCTACGAGTAAACGATGGCATAGTAGTCTTCAAACACAGACTCTGATTTGCCAGTTTGACAAATCAATATGCGTATGTGTCGCGATGTGCTTATTCAAGTCTGTGTAGTTGTATGATTCAGACCCAGTAGTGCATATGGAAATACATTGCAACTTGTATAGAATGGTATAGTAGTCTGCAAGCACAGACGCTAATCTGACAGTTTGACAACATACTAGTAGTGTGCTGAGAAGTACTTTATTTAAGTCGCCAACTTGTATAGAATGGTATAGTAGTCTGCAAGCACAGACGCTAATCTGACAGTTTGACAACATACTAGTAGTGTGCTGAGAAGTACTTTATTCAAGTCTGCGTAGATGTATGATTCAGACCCTACTGGTGCGTGCGTTAGAAATGCATCTCAATGTGTAGAGTGTAGTATAGTAGTCTGCAAGGACATAATAATATATTGTGTATTGATGAGTAGTGATTTTATGCAAGTTTGTGTAGTTTAATGATTCCAGACCCCATGGTAGGCCTATGTATTGTGCCACTGCTCTCTCACACTCTTTCTCTCTCTCTCTCTCTCTCTCTCCATATCTCTCTCTCTTTCTCTCTCTCTCTCTCTCTCTAGCCCTCCCTCCAGTATGCTCGCACTCTCTGTATTACTTTTATTTATAATCATGGTCTGCTGAGAGCCAGAAGGATGTTAACTCTGCACTACTCAAGACACTATGTTGTCAAACTGTCCGATTAGCGTCTGTGCTTGCAGACTACTATACCATGCTATTCAATTTGGGATGCATTTCTGTAAGCACTAAAATGTCTGAATCATACAACTACTCAGACTTGAATACTAGTACTATTGCTACGCACGATATATGCGTAATTGTTTTGTCAAACTGGCAAATCAGAGTCTGTGTTTGAAGACTACTATGCCATCGTTTACTCGTAGAACGCGAATCGTGCACAGTAGATGCGAATACATGTACATTTCGTATGGGAAGTAGCAGAGAAATCACAAGTCCACGCGCATGCGCACATGGGGTATTTGCCCTCTCGAGTACGGAAAAAAAATTCGCGTCCCGGCATGCTTTGCGATGAAACAACCGTGAAGGCACGTATTAATGTCATCAATGTGTTCATGTACCTATCTTTAATGTTGTATGAATGAGTCTCATAAGTCAGCAATTCATTTAACATTACGCGATTTAGCTAATAATTTCTATTTTCCCTACACAGTTGAGATCTGACGATGGATACACGATATCTTCATTAACGGTAAGATAGCTGTATAAAATGAAGACCGTTTATATTGTTTCGAGCCGCGTCTAATAATTTGAAGTCAAATCCCATCTGACTAAACTGAATAAAATATGCTCGGAGTACGAATTCCGTAATTTAATCGTTTTCAACTCAATTCAATTCAATTCATTTATTTTTCCTCTTTCAATCGTTCATAGTTACAATGATGGTACATTTTAACATATTAACATATTTATAAACATATAGATCAATTTGCACAATACAATACATTAAACAAATAAACATGAAATTGAAAGGGAAGGAGGGCCGACTAAAAAGCAGAGCTTGTAGGGTGTAAGCCCCCCTGTAAAAGTAATTATTAAGAATTATTATTTTATGAGAAAAAAACAAAACAATAACAATAACTGATTCAGTAATACCAACAAAAAAAAATCACTTTTAAACGCAAAACATTGATAAATACATACATGATTATAAAAAGAAACAATCAAAGTTGCATACAGTCACACTACAAATTATATTTGATTGGGGAATGCAATAGCCTTGTAACTATTTAGAAGAAAGCTTTTAAGTCTCCTTTTGAAAATTTGTATCGAATCTGATGTTTTAATGAAGCAGCTTCATGCAACATCTTTTTATTTCCCCACTGTATCAGTTTGAAGTTTACAGGACACAACACCAAATACTACCCCACTTAATACAGGTCTGGGAACAAACACTACCCCCCCCCTAAAAAAATAAAAATAATAATATTAATAATAATAATAATAATAATACAAAAATAATAATAATAATAATACAAAAATAATAATAATAATTAAAAAAAAAAATTGCGACAAGCAATAATGGATAGTTATAGTTTATTGAAAAGAGAGCAATTTTGTTATTGACTTCCGGCAGTTATTCATAACAAATTAACAATTATCAACTGCTATACAATGATAACGCAACATGAAACTGGGTCCTGGACTTGAATCTTTTTTTTCTTTTCTTTTTTACATATTAGCCTCTGGAGCGGTTCCGGAAGGCCGGTCGCCAGGTCAAGTTCATGTGCGGTGTTCAGATCAGTCTGAACAAATGTGCCGAAGAGGCTGGGAAGGGTACCTTCTCCATCCAGATCGCAGATCTAATGGAGAAGATGTCCCGTACTCCAGGTGTCGTCTACGTCCCCGAGCACAGCAAAGAGAGGCTCAGCTTCAATGCCACAGACTACCGGTCCAAGTATGAGGTGAGTTTGGTAAAGGGGAAGGGGGGAAAGGAGAGAAGGGGGGGGGGGGGGGGGACTAAGCGAATGTGTCGATGAGTTGAGTTGGTGGGGAGGACTCATATCTTGCCGCTGAAATCAAATCTCGAATTTAGTATCCACCTCGCTTTTACGTTGGTTAAAATGAATTCGTAACGATTTTGTCAACATTCTTGTTTCATTTTAAACACAAAGATGGCTTGGAGGCGATATGCCGGGCGATATGAATATGCTAAAGAGCATTATTTTGTAAACATTTTTTAATGATAATATTATTATACAGAGGTAATAGATCCAAAAATTATAGTTTGTATGTTGATATCCAGAATGATGTCATGCATTTGAAATATAATTTTCTTAGAATAAAATATTGGGTCTCTTTTGGTAAAGCTGCATGATGGTGCATGGTGGTGGTTATGAATGGCTGTGGTGATTGTGGTAGTGATTATGATAGTCGTGGTAGGCAAGATCGCTGTTAAAGAATCTGTATATCAAGGGAATTCAAGCTCTTGAAACTTGATTGCAAACTCTCTTTTCTTTACATTGTAGTTTACGTGGCCAGAGACGGCCAAAGATGTCCTGATGAAGGCCTCCGTAGATCGGACACCCGACGACATCCGACTGGTCAGAAGCTTGATGCGAGGCCTCTACAGCTTCAGAAAGTATTCCAGAAACCTACAGGACCTCATCTGCAAAGTAATCCGGTACGCAAAGTAAGTATCCGAAAATCTTCAAGGTTTTATTCATACCATCTTCTTCTATTTATGATATTGTGTTTATGATATTCATAACGGGGAGGAGGAAAGGTAGAAACTGCTTCTATAGAAAGCATCCTGCAAATAACATTTTGTTTCGAACAGAAGGATTACGCCGGCTCCATTCTATGCGGAATACGCGAAAGCTCGCGCTCCTCCAACACTATAGGACTATAAACAAAATTACGAGTCTACATCTTGCCAATATTTCTTAATGTTATCTTCTCATGATTTTGTCGTTGTCTTCTCAACCTGGACCTGGTGAAAAATTGATTTGATGATATCGTTCCGAGATCCGTTTCTCCTTTGTCCCTCCAAAGAAAGTTTTCTGACGAGATCATAGACGCTATCCTAGCTCTCATATTTGGGTCTTCTCGTCCCAACTAAGTAAAAATGACCACAATTAATTCGATCACTTTAGATCTTATCGTCTACCTCGTGTCACTTTCGACCTTGCGATGGTATTCATGTGTGGTAAAGTATGTATTGCTAATTTTATGTTTTGATGTACTTACCAAAATCACCAGGTACGGTCGCCGTCGAGTGGTGATTCGCAAAGGTCATCCGGGGTTCTCTTTCTACTTCATCTTCTCCGGTATGGCTGGTGTCACCCTGGAAGAGGACGAGATGAACGCATTCGTCAAAAAAGAAGTCAACATCCTGAAAAAGGGTGCTAGCTTTGGGGTAAGTTTATTATATTATCGAGTACTTATTATTTGAGTACCTTCGTCATTGCCGCATCAGAGGATACTCGGGCACCTCACTATCAGAATGTGAGGCGGCGGTCGAATAATATGCGGGTTTATTGGTTATTCGACATTTTTTTTTTAAACCTGCATCACATTTCTTTCGAACAGGTTGTCTTTGAACGAGAATGAATATTATACTGCTTTTTAAAAAAACACTGTCGATTCAATTTTATCCTCGATCAGGAGATCGCTTTGCTGAAGGATTCACGACGCAAGGCGACGGTAGTCTGTCTCGAAAACACCGAGTTCCTGGTGGTTGATTCCGATGACTTCTTTGAAAACAACCTCCATCTCCACATCCAACAAGACTTCGAGTACCGTATGAATTTCATGAGGTGAGTGACGTATGCATATGACAGTCGCAATGAGAGGTGAGGAATAGTTGGCGGGGGAAGGGGAAGGGGGGATGAAAGGAGTTCCTGGTTCTTGGTGCCAGTGTTTTCTTTGAAAGCACCTCCATCTCCACATCCAACAAGAGTACCGACCAAAGACAAACCAAATTTACGAGTCAGAACTTGCCAAACAAAATCAGGGATCACTTTACTGTGAGTTTTTAATAGTCCAGTCTACTATTTGTTTTAGCAAATATCAATAAATAGCTATATGTAGAGATTTTGTAGCGGCAAGGGGAGGAACTTAATAACGATAATTCCCCAAACATTAATTTTGATGTACTTTTTCCGACAGTCACCTAGATTTATTTTCGACGTGGACATCTGAATCCATAGAGGAGATCTCTGATATGGGTCGTATGGAGGAGTACTGTAACGAATCCCTGATCGTCAAGGATGCTCGAGATACAGATTGGCTCTTCATAGTCACCAAGGTGAGGAATGAATCAGTCACGAATAGCTTAATAATAATACAAAATATTGTACCGGTAATAATTTGTTTACCAAGGGAAGTCTCACCGGCAACTATGCTGATCTTTCCGATGGCACTGCAATTATTATTACCCCAATAAATGTCGGATAGCTTTTACACCTGGGTGACGAGTAGCAAATATGGATTAATGTCTTGCCAAAAGACATTAGTGCCTGGCTGTTGTTTACTTTTCGGACAAGAGTATCTTAATTGTGTCAAGATAGATCAAAGATCATAAACTCTGTACTAAAATTGTTATTATTCATTCCATTGTATTGCCTGTAAAGATGGAATATTCCTTCATTAGTTTTGGAGCATATATCTGCTCATTCTAAAAGAATTGATTTATATCATATTATCCTAATTATTCTTCATTGGTGAGTTTGAGATAAATATTGAAAATACACATCTTTATTGTCATTTACGAATATAATGGAACGGTCCCAAAATAAAGTTTCTAACCTGGCATGTAACGAATATTGCAATGATGGTTTTGATTTATTGTGCTCATTTGTCAATGGAGAGTGTTTTTTTTTTCTTGACCAAATATTGTAAGGCAATGCTCGTGTAATCAAATGTGATAATCTGTTTCACCACAAGGGTCGAGCGGACGTGTTGAAGCTGGTTGACTTAGCCCAGCTGTACATGTCCAAGCAGGATGAGGAGGAAGAAGTCATGCAGGTGTCGAGGAAAGCCAAGGTACTCAAATCGGCATTCGCGTGGAATGATGACGTCTCGTCCAAGCTCACCAAGATTCCGCAACACCAGCAGTATCAGCAACATCAGCAACCCCAGTCAGATCCAAGGTTTCCGTGGATGACCGGTGGCGACGGGCACGAGCAACCGCAGAAGAATGGGAAGAAATTGGACGTCCCAGCAAGGCCGAAGACGACAGGTGAGTTCTGGGCACAAATGTTAAAAATACAGCAATTTTTGCCCCTCCTCTGGTTTTACTGAAATTGTTGATTTGCTGAGGAACTTATGTGATCTTAGTCATTGTGCAGTTCTTCAAAAAGTTTTTGAAAGATCGCCAAAGATGACGAACAAGACAAGTGATCTTTCGTCAATAAGGTAGGCAGTCCTACCAATATCTTTGCAGTCAAAGCACGAACAGTCTCGTGACTTAAATCTGTATTGGCTCATTATGGCAGTGCTCAAAATCAATTCCAATAAATTATGCACCAATTCTTCTATTGCTTGAAGGCCTACTTATCTCTACCTGTCGGTCTCTTTCCATGCTTTCATGACCGTGTCTTATCCGTTTTCTCTTCTTGATTATCTCTCGAACTCAAAAGGTCAAATATCATCACGCACGCGCAATCACATCGCTGATAATGCCCACGCCGATACAGCCCACGGAAACAGTAGAAGCAAAAGTGCCACAGTCAGACTGAAAGTTCCTTCGGACAAGCTTGATGGCAGCGGTGATGAAGGAACCAATGAGCACCAATCAAACGGCGTGTACAGATCAAATCAGTCACGAGCTAGCTCAGCGAATCATAGGAGGAGAACGTACGTTAGAATCTTTGAAATACACGAATATGTTTTTCGTCCCATTATTAATTTTGTACTGTTCGGAATAAAATATTCACCATCGTTTAAACGAGAAGCATTTACAATCATGGTGGAGGGGGTATATGAGAGGTATGAAATCTTTTGAAGTTAAGTGATTTTGAATTTTCCTTTGTCTTTTGGTAAATAACATGGAAACTCAATGCGTGGTAACATTTGTCATTATGTACAAATGGTCTTTCTCGCTTCCCAACTCTAGTTTCACAATTAGTTTGGAATATCAAGAAGAACGAATTGTTATGCTCTCATGTATTTGCACTACCCTTCATCGTGGAATTATCGTAACAGTAAATGCTACCGGTTGCCATAAAATTGAAAAAATAAATTTCCTGCACTACAGGTTTTCCGAACCTACAGAGGAAATGCCCACACTACCGAATCACATCAAACTGGGACTGGAGACGATTAAAGCTCCTGGCGTTGAAGCAGGAGTGTACATCCAAGTAGATGCTCTCAGATCAGGGGATTTCTTCGTAAGTAGATGATTTAGTTGGTTATGGGTGTGGTCAGGATTGTTAGGGTGTGGTCAGCTAATACATTAAGGTCCCTATTGTCAAGGCTTCCGAGTACATTTAGATGCTACTGGACCAGGTGACTTCTTTGTGAGTAATAGTCGATGATGATATAGTTGGTTCGGGATGGGCGGGGTGTGGTAGGGATGATGGTGTGGTCTATGTGTCGATTAAGGTCCCTGAATTGTTTTAAAGCAGAAGTATCCAAGTGGATGCTCTTAGGTTGAGCTATTTTTTTCTCAGTAGAATAAATGATATTGGTGCGTTTGTGATGTTTTAGGGTGTGGTCAGCCTATACATTTCGGCTTAATCCAGGCGCCAAGTACATCTTCACAGGCCAGACGTTCTAGGGATGAACAGATTCAAAGATAAACTGAGAAGTTCAAATCAACGACTGTTTCCGAGTACTTTACGACTTGTCCCCCCGAATAGCATTTAAAAAATAATGTGCAACTTTTACCACTTATATCTCGTAATGTGTCTTGAAAGAAAGTCCTGTTAAAAATTCAAATTTTCCCCTTCAGGTCAAATATATTCTTTGGTTGGTGCTGTCAGGAAATCTAATAGCCTGCCAATAGATGGGTCTCATTTTATTAAGCAGAATGATAAAGTGAAAAGGGGATATGAACCATGTAATTCATATTTTACGAAGCACCATTTCCTCCTGTTTTTCATTATGTAGGCCTTAACCTATAATACAAGCTTTGGGACTACATAATGGAACTATGATTTGATACTATTTCCTTCGCAAATTTCTTAGAACATCACGTCTCAGGCAAGTTGCTAACGTATTGCGCATTTTTCATTTTAATGTTACAGGGTATTCAAGGCATAAAGGGCGAAATGCCTCATCTTTCACTCGTCAGTCACGGATGCGAAGTAATCCGAATCTCGATGTCGAAATTCCGCGAGTTCGCCGATGACGAAACGTTAGCTAAAGTGAACAAACTCCTCCCGACCTACGCAAGCGGCCTCGAACTATGGCGAAGTTTCCAGAAACAGAACAAATGGAGAAACTTTAAGAATGGCGTGATCACTGATGTCATGCGGCATGCGCACCAGTCAGATCAAGCAGCGATCGTAGAGAGGGCGGGGCCTCGATCAAGGAGATCGGTGACCAGTGATTGGGTGACGAATACTTGGAGTAGGCGGAGCTCGATGGGAGGAGAGTCATCGGAAGTGAGAAACACACCTCTTCCAAAGATCATGACAAGTGCTGTAGAGAGGGGGAGTGGTCCCCGAAGTCCACGCCCACGGCGAAGAGGTAATGACCTTCTTCAAATAAAAGAACAATGATAAATGAATATGGAGTCAGAGTAAAACATCAGGCATAGGGGGTTTAATCCAGATTGAAACCGATATATAGCTTTAACTATACAACCCGTAGAATTTCCGTCAGCCTTTTCTTCTCCGTTTTATTCTGATATGCCTTGTAATAATACTAAATATGTTTCTGGTAGTTGAAATATTAAGTTTGTAAGATACAATTGGAGGATTCAGGCTACATGGCTAATGAGCTATTCAAAAATATACAAAACACAACTATCTTTCCTTTCTTAATCATTTTCTAGGAAAGAGTGCAGGTGTATCGAATGCATCCACTTCAAGACCTGGGAGTCGTGCTCTCACCGCCAGTCGACCGCCAAGCACGCGAGTTTCTGATTCGAGACCGCCCACTCGGCACTCCATGTCCAATCACGACTTGAGGATTCTTGAAAACCGTAGATCCAGCGTACCTGCATCACGTTTCGTCTCCGCCTCCCAATCCTTAAACAACCAACAGATGGCTCGAACGCTCAGCGCTGTGGGCGGGGCGATGAGTTCGGGCGGGGAGAAGAGGTACAACTCGCAGCAGTCTATGCCTCATTTGAACATTCCCGATCTTGCAAATTTCACTAAACCAACATTTACACGAAGCAGGAGTTGGCGAGAACTGAAGTCGTGAAAAAGTTTTCATCATCTTGTGTTCGTGAAATAGACAGTTTTACTGTCACTAAGTGCAATAGATACTCGCTAATGCCGCCGAGTTCAGGAAAAGCCTATCAGCAAAATTATATTTGTTGATTCATATGTTCTACACCTGAGATGAATGCATATTTTGAGATAAACACGGAGAAAACTATTTCTTGATCCTATAACCGAGGGAATACAGGATCATAATAGAAAATGGATGCCGTACCCAAAGATCAGAGCGAAATTTTGAACTAGATGACTACAATAACAGAGAATGGGATATGGAAAGGGAGAGGATAAGAGATAAAGAGAGAGAAGGAGAGGTGAAGGTTCACAAAAACACGGATCGCAGCTACTTTCGAAATATCAACTTAACTAAGAATTCAACTGCTGTGCGTAATCCGACCTCGATTTCTATTGGATATAGGTTTTGAAATTGCCCTTGAGTTGATTTTCGAAAGAAGTTGCGATCATGTTAAAATAACCACAAAAATCCCCATGTTTTACAACAGAACCAGGGCCTGTATTCAATAAACTTCTAAAATACGGGCCCAGATGACAGTAACCATTGTAACCAAAATGGGTCAGGATGAATTTATATATTTGGTAAGAAATTTCATATTATGTACCAAGAAGTTTACTATTCTATCGCCAACAATTTTTTAGACTGTTAATCGAATCGAATATGGAAGAAATAGATGAAGTTTATAATCTTGCCAAATCTGAGTATTATTCTCTTCTTCCTCGAAATGCATAGGTACATGTATATCTGTATTTCGGAACAAAAATGGCTACCAAAGAATTTTTGTTAGTGCCGATTACTTTTTTATTTAAGCGGTTTTCATGGTGTATAAATTGAGTAAAGCTTTACGATATTTGCCACGGCTGGAATGTAATAGGTCATTTGTTTAAAGACCTACACAATAATTGAATTGCTTTTAAACGTTTCACCAATTGCAATGTATCTCGCAAAACGTTAGTTTCTTGTAGATGTTCTCGATTTCTTCAATCTAAAATTATATATCTTGCCTATATTCCATGGCATGAAACTTCCGTCCGCTATCGTTAGAGATATCTGCCAGAATTTGCAAATATTAAAGGGGAAGTCCACCCTGAAATTAAGTTAGTTTTAATAGGAGTAGAAAAATGAGAGAAACAAGTCAGTGAAAGTTTGAGCAAATTCCGATTAAAAATAAGGAAGTTAGGATTTTTGAAGTTGTGATCAATCAAACACAAATTGGCAACTCTATGACGTATCATGCGAGCTCAACTTCCATTTGCTCAGTACTAAAAAAATCTAAAATTTTCATTTTCCCTCAAGAAAAATTTCAACCATACATGCACCCTAAATATAATAATTGCAAATATGTTTCTATACTCCCCCTGCAAGGAACAAATATATATTCCGTCATCAATAACGAAGAAAACATGATTTTATGGAATATTATGCACAAAGCAAATGAAGGAGAGCTCGTATAATAAGTCACAGAGTTGCCAATATGTATTTGATTGATCACAACTTCAATAATTCATAACTTTCTTATTTTCATTCAGAATTTGCTCAAACTTTCACTCACCTGATTTTCTTATTATTCTGCCTCTATCGAAACAAACTTATTTTGGGGGTGGACTTTCCCTTTAATGTTTCAGTATTTTGTTAACTTGATGTGAAGCCGAATAAACACTCATGTTGAGTAAAGATATCATGATTTTATTTCAGTGCTGTGCAGTAATATTCAAATTTGAGGAACTTACAAGCGAGAAAGGGATATATAGAGAAAGAGAGAGGGAGGGAGAGAGAGAGAGGGAGAGAGAAAAGATGGGAGAGAGAGATAAAGAGAGGGAGAAAGAAAAGGTGGAAGAGAGAGATATAGAGAGAGAGAGAGAGAGAGAGAGAGAGAGAGAGAGAGAGAGAGAGAGAGAGAAAACATTAATATTTGAACTAGTACAGTAATAGGGAATCGTTTATCGTAATACCCCAGACTCGGTATATCAAAACAGTTTACGAAAGTATTAATCTATACTCCACAAAATAGAAGCATGGCATGGCAAGAGCACTCATATTACTTTCATGCGAATGGGCAAGGGGCTCTGGTGCTCGACTTGAAAGCAGATTCTCGTTGCTTGTGGCAGGTCTAAATTCTTCTGATAAGTATCCACTTTCCATAGACAAAGTGTTCTTTACTGTCAATCATTATTGTTGATTCATATGTAACATACTACACACCACAGATGCAATACATTTCTCTGCCGATCACGTGCATCCTGTAAAGAACCTTCTCAGCTATGATGTTCCCTCTTTGAAAAATAAAGGTTTGTTATTAAAGTAACAAGCTTGGTGCATGATATACATGTAAAACTTCACCTGATACGTCACATTATTTAAGAAAATGGCTGCACCCGGACATGTCACACTAAAAGGCATTACATCATACCAAGAATATCTTCACTTCTAAATCTGTTGTACACTTTCGTATGGAATAAATCTCGTTTTTCAAAATACCTACATTTATTCCGAGGCGAGGATTCCTTGGAAGTGGTACAGTTATTTTCAACCTTTTTTTTTTTCATTCACGGCACCCTTTTCAGAAATAAAGTTTCGCGTCACCCCAATCCCCCAAACAATATTACTTGTGCATCACTCTGAAACCCGTCGAGCGAGTTCAAAAATGTAACCTTTGATATATTTCAAAATCATTTTGTAATCAGCATATTAGATAAGATATAAAATAATATATGCGGGCAGCCCGCTGCCAAACATAATGAACACGTGGAAATTCGGGCATCTCAATGCCAAGAATTTTCCGTTTCTAAATGTTCACATTGAGTGAAGCAAACAAGCGGTAGAAAATGTAATTTTGATCGTATGTAAGACACATGTGCACCTTGCTGTCTTACAGAATGATACTTGGGTACCTTTCTGTCAAAATATCGAGGTATTCAGGCACTTTGCCGTTTAAAAAATAAATAATGCAAGCGAGGAAGAAATACATTTTTCATCTTAAAAATGCTATTTCCTCATCAACTTACATACTCTAGCGGTTTCTAATATTAGGTGTTTCACGAAATTGACGTTATTCCAAAATAACTTTCTAATGTAACTAATTTCTCTCGCAGCACCCCTAGAGATTACTTGTGGTACCGCTCCCAGGATTAAATTGAAATAGTACATTCTAGAAACAAAAATGACACGAACAAGAACAGGCTCTAAATATTTACAACTGTTTTTAATACTTGTCAAGCCAAAAGTGAAATTGATAAATTCAAGAACATAATTGTTTCAGGTTCAATCTACAAAAAATGCACACAAATAGGTGAATTCCCGATATGTATAAATTCCTCCATGGTTTGGACAAAATGGCGTGTTCCGCAATTTATTTGAAATCTTTAACTGTTATGATAGGAAAACTGCTATTGAACCAAACATTCAAGAATATAATAAACACAAAGACAACATTTCTAGGCTTTCCTCATGTGAGCCATTTTGGAGAAAAGACAAGAAGAGTTAGATTTATAAAATTAATAACTTTAAGATAATAATTAAATAAAAAAATCATAAAAACAAGCAAAATTTGTAAAAACAACATAAAATGTATTAATTAACCGCCTTTCTTTTATTTTAACACCTTAAATACTGTGTTTTAAACACTTAATCTGCCACTAGCTGACATAAGCTCAGTGTATAAATAAAATGAACTGATTTGAAGTTTTAAGAAAATAAATTCCTCGGTAAAAGAGAGCCATGCCCTATTTGAAAAAACATTATAGTGCAAGTTGATGATAAATATTATATAGTACAAAACTATGATGCTTTTGCAACTAAAGAGAGTCTGGCAAGAAGCTGATAAAAGAATGAATATTCTCTAAACACAAACAAAAAGCATTTTCCATCTTGCATTTTATTTGGAAAATAATGCGGGACCAATCATTAACTGATAACAAACATTTTGTTTTGCCTCTGATCATTTACTAAAATTCTGTTGCTTAAAAGTTAACCATTACCTGCCCTAAGTTAATCTTCCACAGCCCTTTTACATTCTGGAAAATACATATATTTTTTACTTTGTATAATTTCCCCCTAAAATTTATACATGTAGTTGATGTCTACCTTATCAAATTGTTCAAGTTAGTTACCAATCTATACTTCAACTCTATATCATTATGTGAACTGCCTAACAAAGAGAAAATAAACCATCAAAATTACATATGAAATGTTAAGTGAGATCAACTCTTTGGAAAGTGGTGTCAAATATTTAAAGGCATTTAGATTTATTGCAATTAAAAAAGAGGCAGTTACTTGTTGCATTATTTCATCTAAAATTTAAAACAATTTAATTGTAAATAAAATTTGAATTGTTATTGTAATGAATAAAAATAAATCTACAGAAAAAATATTATAATTTTTTGTAAAGTTCATACTGCCAGCAGTGTGAACTATTATGCTGCAAATTCTGTAACAGACATCTAATAAAACCCAAAGTTGATTACAGCTTATACATGGTTCAATTAAATTACTGACAATATTTTAAACAGAATTAAAACCTACTAAGATAAAGGTTTGACACTATTTCAAAGCCATTCTTGTAAAAGAACTGAACCAAAGTGAGTGCACATGAAACATACTTTTAAAAACAGATCCTCACCTTAGTTTTTTTAAATACCAACATTTTGAAATCATCCAATATTAACAAAATATGCACATGATACCTCTAACATGTGAAGAGATTTATATAATATTGGATGGCCTTGAGTGTGATACAAGAATATATTGCTCGAGCTATGACAATATTGAACGAGTCGGAGACGAGTCCGATATTGTCATAGCAAGAGCAATATATTCTTGTATCACACGAAAACAAAGCCATATAATTTTATTATAATATGATCTTAAGTAGTGGTAGTGGTAGTATCGTCAGTGATCACCTTTCAACATACATGTAAATCATAGAACTAATCATAAACTACATGTATTAATAAAGTTTCATAGAATTTGTTTAAAAAAAAAAAAAACAGTATTGAAGGCCTTACTGCTTTAAAAAACCTGCATAAAACTGCTTTAAAAAACCTGCATAAACAATGCTATATTCTAAGCAGTACAACACTGGAAGACAGTATAAAAGACAATGTCGGCACACACATGGTTCCAAAAGAATGGTGGGAATTGACGAGATGAACAAAACCATTGACTCACCGCCTCTTTGGTTTATTCCGTAATAGATATACAAATTACACACCAAGTTCCTTCGTAATCAAATATAAAATCACACAGTAGACCTCTGATTAAGTATGCATTGCTTGGTTTATTTTAGCAAAGAGCCATTTGAAAATAGAAAAAACTTTTTCAATAAGATACTCTCAAAAAAATATCTTTCATGAAAAAGAATCATCCGGAAATGATACGTTTCATATATACAAATCTGATGGTAAATGAATCGGGAACTCTTTGGGAAATGCTGTTGAATTTATTACATAAATCTTTTGAATCTTAAAATGTAATTTGATTTACATAGAATTAAGAGTGCGGACAATCTCAGTCAATATCTGCACTCACACAAAATAGAGCTTATTATTTACATGATATGCTGCAGACAGCAAAAGAATAGAATTTGTGTCAAATTTCTTTGACAAATCCTGAGGGGAAGTTGAACTTCGGAGGAGGAAGGTCGTCTCACGTAAGGCCACATTCTTTCTCATTGTAGTCTCGGAACATGTGGAGGGTGAACTCGTAGCATGTGATCAGTATTGCACTGGCCGGTGCCGACATTGCAACCCTAGGTCCCACACCTGAAATGAATGAGAAGAATTAGGTCAAGAACAGTGAAACATTGAGAAAGGGGATACGATATCAAAGGGCTGAACGAACCTTTTTTTTTCTTCAAATTGGCAACAGTAATACTTTTCATTTGAAAAATTTGAAAGAAAATACATTAATAATGATTATTATTCCTTAATTCTGTATATAAACAGATAAAGATGATCTCTAAATGTTTGACTACTTTTATTTATCAAAATTACATTTGATATGGCGGGAGGGGAGGGAGTGTGGCCTTTGTGCATCTTATATTCTTACCAGCAAATAGTCCTTTGATGCCAGACTGAGCCCGTATCTGCTGCATCATGTAGAATGTATTCTGTCTGGTCTTACTCATTGCACCTAAATGATGTAAACAAACAAGAAAGTTAAAGATAACATATTGCATGGAAATACATGCCAAGTTGCTGACCAGAGCCATCCATATAAAGAGTTTGGCCTATCCAGTTCTTCTACGACACAATATGGCGAACGTGGCTTCCTTGGGCAATTCCAAACAAATATATATATATATACCATACTGAGTCCAACTGGAATCAAGCTGGCCAAACTCTGTGTACAAATGGATTTGATGCTGACATTCACTGTCTTCGAATATATGTTATCAGAATTTTGCTTACTGATACAGAAGATTTGAATTATTAAATGGTCATGTTGAGTTGTGATAATGACAGAAATATATATTCCCACAGGACCACATGAAACTGAACCTGACCATTCAAGAGTACAGAATGATGCCTGGTAAACATTTTTTGGGAAAAGGTGGATAACTGCTGACAAGTGAGCAAAGAAAAATTATGCTTTCGTTCATATGCACACAACATAATCTTTGAGTCTATAACATTGTTGCACCGTGAAGCTAGAGTACTTCTGAACAAAGTTGGCTATGCTTTTTATGCTAAACTCGATTCGAGCAAACGTTGTTATGGTTGATATGAGACATAGGGTATGTTTATGCTCAATTTTGAAGGCAGAATGAGCGATTTGAAACGCTCATCGTAAACGCTCATCGTAATCGCAGTTCCACGATGTACTGTTTATGCTCACTTCTCTGGCTCCTCCAGGCATGATTCTGGCTCAGAGCCAGAATCATGCCTGGAGGAGCCAGAGAAGTGCAGTGCAGAGTCTGCACTGCGCATGCTACGTTGACCCCATTGAAACGCGTTTACAAATGATTGTGCGTTTATGCTCCCCCAGAATCGCTGATCCAAAACGTACTTTTTTGTGAGTTTACGATCGGTGATTATGATCGCCGTTTTTCTGTGATGCAATGAGTAAGGACGGGTAACAAATGCCTCATTCTGGCCAGAAAAAGCTGAGCATAAACGTACCCATAGTTTCTCACTTCTGGTATGTCCCCATTACTGGCCAAATACTGCCCCAACCCCATGGAATGACCCGTGAAGCAATGTTCCCCTACACTGAATGACGTCCAATGTCGTCCATGATTGTGCCTAATGAAGAGGCCCAACTACACGCTAACCCAATTCCACTGACATGAAAGCCATTCTGAGAAGTTTAACCGACCAAATCACGTTCACCTAGTGTGTCTGATCTGGCAGTAAGGCATGAGCATAATTCTAGTGGGATTGCCCTTATGCTAAGAAGACACTGTCTTACCATTATATACAATGGTATACAACAACATTTGCCTTTTGATCATAAGTCTATCTATGAGGGTTTCTGCACAGTGTGGGAGGAAGGTCACCCTCAAATTTCTGACATCGTATTGGCGAAAGGGTGAATTAATGTTGTGATCTTTGTAACTGCAGAAGTTTAATAATGTCTGTTTATCCGATTATTATCGGCTTTGAGTGCAGTCAAAATTGTAAGCATAGACCTCCCCTTGAAAATGGTAGATCCAAATATATGTAACGGTGATCCAAGGTTTGCTCTGGATTTATTTCGTCACAGTAAATACTGTAGGGTTCGAGCTGGTGTTGTGAAAAGATATTAGGTTAGATTAAGATTTAAGGTTGGGTTAGATTTAGGGTAAGGTCCCGGGTAAAGTTAGCAATCCAACTATGTGAGACATTGACCACAGAAGAATTGCCACTGGAGCATGTTTCAAACAATCGCAATTACAGAGGAACAGACAGCTAAAATGAATTTCAACATACCACTTGTTACATCTCCAATTGCAACCTGTTTGTTGGTCTTCACAACATCAAAAGGTGTTGTAACTATAGATGCAAACTAAAACAAAACAAAGAAAATATGCAAGAATGTTACAAAACAATTGAAGAAATTGAGATCAGGTGCTGTTTTACCGCAGTGACATTGTTTGCAATTCTAAAAAAACACTGTCAAAAATAGACCTGCAATATAGAGCAACATAATGATGCTGATCATAACATTTTGACAAAATAAAATGGAAAAAACAATAACTTACCGGTATGTGTCATCTTAAAAACACTGCTTCTCAGATATTATCCCTTTTTAAATTTCATGAAAGTTTGGTTTATTCTTACTAGCACATGAATAGGCATGTATACAATGTCGATATCACTGGTAATTACCTAATGCCAATTCAGAATTTTAGCTATACATTTGCAGTCCTTGGTTGCTGCTTCAGAAAATAGCTTAATTCAAAATCTTTTACTTGTTTACTCTGCATATGTGTTACAACACATACAGTTAAAAAAAGGGGAATATGGCACAATTTAAAAATAACTATATTCTTACCACTCCTGATGCTGTTCCAGCCCAAAAGGTCATTGCCAGAGTTGCTTCCGACACATCATACACCTTCATGACCTGAGTCTTGAGCAGCTCATAGTTGGTCCAATACAGGACTAAAAGAAAACAGATTAATGTCTTATTAAATCAGAGTTCAATACATTTAATGAATATCACGTGCTGGTGACTCAAAAAATTCAAAGTGAACAATCTGGTCCCTTTACCTGTTAGATATGATTTATTTTGGTACAGCACATAGTTCTCACAGAGACTAGTCAAAGTATTGTGAAGTTTACTATTCAGCAAGTTAAGCAAAGGGACAGGTGCATATTTTCACATTTAAAATCATAATGTAGAAGCTTGTGAGTCTGAAGACAAAAAGGAAAACATATTGAAACATGAGTATTCAATGGAACTTCTTTCTTTGGCATTTCATGACATTTTAAAATCATTACACCAGTACTAGAACTGACAGTGATTTTCAAAATGGACATATTTTGTTTTCTTTCTAGTCCTAACAAATAAATCATAAAAAACAATGCTTTTCTACAATTAAGACTGCTGCACAATGCCCAACCAGCATAAGATGTGAATACATTATGAGCAGACAAACACTCCTCTCCTGTAGTCAAGAAAAAGAGATTCTGGGTTTTCAGGCTTCTAGTTTAATAACTAGTTGCAAGTAATTTTATGTGGAATACCTTCAAGAAACCACATTCAAAATGTTACTGAATCAGAAGGGCAAACATGGCTACTATGACCTTCCTACATACAGATGAAAGTGCTTGCAAATGAATTGAGCATAATCAAAATGACTAGCCTAGCTTACAACATCGCCTAACAAATGTGTGTTCCTTACAATCACCTCTTATAAGCAATACAATACAATATTGGAATGGTCCTAGCGGGGATTTCTGGTAAGTGCTTGTGATCATGTGTTATGCAGCCAGAGGACAGCCATGAGACTAACAATGTCGTTTTCATGGACCTTTTGAACAGTTATCTGTGTTCGTTAGACCAATTACCCACGCTACAGACACGCCAGTCTTCTGATATCTTTTCTGACTGTCCACAAGATGGACATTGTTGGTCTTGTAAACGGCTGGTCTCATGGGAAGTCTGTCTACTGGGATGTCCCTAATCCACTCATTACTCACTTGCATACAGTACATCTCTATTAGAGTATAATTTATTCCACATGACTGGTCAATAACCGGTGCTCAACTTGGCTTTTTCTTTGGCTGGAAGGCTTAAAAGCCATGGCATTCATTTATATACTCTATAACCATTTAAAAACGTTTGTAAGATACAATTTTCAATTCTAAAATTTCAATCTCTTTCAAAAATGTAGCTGTGGCGAGGTCCTGTGGTGCACAATGGGGGTAACTCACTTGCATAAGGTACATCTCTCAGGATCGTTGATCCAACACCCCTCCAGAGAGAGAAGACACCTTCTGCTTGGAATCCAGATCTCAGACAGCGCCCTAGCTCGGGGTAGGTCAGGTACTGAGAATAAAGCTTGGTCCTGATCAGGTCTAGAGGGCTTGTCAACACAATCGACATGGCTGATGACAAAATGAACATATCAAATCACAAATTTAGAGATGAAATTGTGTGTTCAGAACAGGCTTTAGGTCTGTGTTCTGTATTAAAATATGTAAGTATATGAGCTGAAACTCGAGACAGACGAAATGGCAAAGAATAGAATGACAATGCATCAAGTACCCTTACTCCAGTGTATGTGGACTAACTTGAGCTCCAACACTTTCTTTCAATAGCAAAGCACCCCCTCTCAATCTTGCTAAGTTGGCTTCCTCTTCCTCTCCTCCTTTCCCCTCTGTCTTAAGATTTAATTTTAATTTTAATTTGACCTCTGTGAACTTTGTGGTTTGACCTGGTTACTCCAAAATCGATTAAAGTTGTCCTCCTATGGTGATACATATTATCACCAAGGTTGAGCCTCATATCTCTAGATTTTGCAATAACAAGGCTAATAGCTGGAATTTCAGAAGTTGACCTCTGTGACCTTTGACCTAGTCACTCTAAAATCTAATCAGATTGTGCTTTTTTGGTGATACATCAAGTTTGAAGTTAATATCTCAAGTGGTTCTTGAGATATCGCATTAATGAGAAAGAGGAACGAAAGTACGAACGGACGGAAAACCCGAAAAACATAATGCCTCATGCACCACCTTCAGTGGGCGGAGGCATAGATAGTAATGTTCATGCATTTGAAATATTATACAAGAAACTCATTCTTCACAGATTTCATAACCCGATAGGCTTTGATGGCTAATTATGAAACCAAAACATAACCAAGGCCCAGTTTAATAACTTGATGTCAACAACAAATACAGTAACTGTTATGATTACTGGATGATGTGAGCAAATTTGATATGTGGCACTTGTTCCTGATTTTTTTATAAATAAAACAGGGCCCAGGTCCTCCTTCCTGCATGACCTTCGGCCTAGGGTGGACAGTGTAACATATCAGGACACCGGAAGGAAAGAAGGAAGGGAACCAATGGGTGAGAGGATATCATGGTTTGCTATTAGACCTATTTAACATCTACACTTAGGATATATCCTCCCTTGAACTGAACAACCTCGTTCATACCTGACGTACATGTAGTAAACTGCCCAACAAAACTGCTAAAGTGATATAAAAAACCATTTCACACATAAATCCAGCTCATGCCCTATAGAAATGTCAAGTATTGGAACAGAACCTCTGCTTGGGAAATATTTTGTATGGATTATTTACCAATTCATGTCTCATGAAATATTTAAACAAAAAAAGGGAAATACAATTAATACATATGGATTATGCAATGAAATTTAAGCTTAACTATATCTGTGGCCCAATGCTCATTCATAAGAGCTTAAATGGCTTTCCATAAATTGACTTTATATTCCTCAAATGTACTTTCAAGCTAATTATCAAAGTTGGAAGCTCCTTCTCACTTGTAATAGTACAAGAAGGGATTCTGACGGACTCCCACTACAATACTAACATAAAATAAATGTCAAGCAATAACATGTCTCCCACATCAAATCGATTTTTCACTGTTTACAATTTACCAAGTCTGAAGTAGGTAAACTAATCCTTGGAAAGCTAGAACAGCAGGCTATTAGTCTACAGGACTTTTCTATACTTTGCACAACAGTGTACCAAGAGAGCACAGTTTCAGTTGAGAACAAGGAATATCAACTCTGTGTTAACATCCTAACAGTAGGCAAGTGGTAAATACGGGTGCAGTTTATGCCTGATTTTTGCTATTTGTACAGAGAGGCAGTAACAGACGTAGCTTTAGGACTCTCATTCTACTTACTTCTCCCAGTACCGCTGGCAAAGATGGTGATGAGGATGCTCTTCAGGTCACTGGAGTGACTGGATTCAAAGCCTAGCTGACTCTTCAGACCGTCGTAGACAGTGAAATACATCACGTTGGCTGGAATTCGCATCATTCTAGGATAAGATGGGCCATGTCATTGAGATTATAATACTCTTTCAATCTGTTTCTTATTTAAGTGTAAAAAGATTATGAATAATACATCACAAATATTCAGAAGGTTTAATTTCAAGAAGTGACTGGATTTGAACCCTAGCTGACCTTCAAGACCGTCATAGACTGATAACAAACCAGGTTGCCTGGTATCTACATCAATCTGGAATAAGATGGACCATAAACATTGGCTCATATTCATGAAGGTGGACTGAAAGTTTGTTTAACTTAGTCCAACGATTAATGGAGAAGCCATGTCTCAAAGTTTCATCAAAGAGGGCAATTTTTAAATTGCCTGTAAAACCGAAATGATAAGGCAGACGACATTTACATTTACATATATGTAGCAAATAGCATAATGTTCCTTCCTTTGAGTTGAGAATCTAATAATGATCGGTCTACAGAGAATGTGCGATTCCTGTTTTCATGAAAAAATAAGGTCATGTCTCAAGTTCAATGACTGGTTAAATCCTTCCTGGAGGATTGGCAGGAAATGCTCACTGCTACTCTGATCTATAGCTTAGAATCATGGGATGGAGACTTGCTGCTAGGGGCAACAAAACTGTCTAGAAAACAATTATTTAGTACAGTTTAGTGTAGCTTAGTAAGTCCTTGGGTTTCTGATAATCTTTTGCTTAATTGCTGCTGATTTTTTCATTCAAACTAAATAACTTTCCTAAGACACTCTTGTTTCTTGCTCATTGATGAAGCCCAATTGAAGAAATAAACAACAACAAAGAACAAAGAAAGTTAAAAAAGTTACTAACTTTTGCTTATTAATTATGCCTAACTAACCCATCACAAAAAAGTGGGGGGGGGGGGGGGGATTTAATAAACTAAAATGTAACCATTTTTCGTTAGTTGCTCTCCTTTCTCATCAGAAATCACTCAGTAATCAGTAAATTCAATTTGTACATTGTTCTTGAAAACCAAATTCTCACCATTCCCTAAACTATACATGAACAGCATGGACTATTTAGGGGATCGGTTGTGCAGAGACATTGATGGACTATGCTAAATATTATTGACAGTAGCCTATACTGCAAGCGGTATACATAGAAACATGTAGGTTTTTATCAAACTGGTAGGCCTACTTACAATGTTGGAACAAGACCACTCCACAATCTTGTGAAACCTTCATTCCTTATGATTGATCTGAATCCATCCTGAGATTGAGAAAAAAGAGTGAAAGAGAAAGAGATAGAAAGAGAAAAGGGAAATGAGAGATAAAGAGAGAGAGAGAGAGAGAGAGAGAGAGAAAGAAAAGGGAAATAGATAAAAGAGAGAAAGAAGAGAGAGAAGAGAGTGGAAGATAAAGAAATAGAAATAAGAGGGTGCGAGGGAGAGAGAGAGACAAAAAAAAAAAAGAGGGAGAAAGAGAGAGAAAGGGGAGCAGAGTGAGGGGTAGAGGAGGAGACAGAGAGAGATTGTATGGATGGAAAACAAATTGTGTCTTTCATTAATAAGTTTATAGGGCTAATACAAAGTAACGTTCAAAGTTTTATCTCTTCCATCTTAGTATGAATTTCAAAGCCCTGATTTACTGACTTACCAATGTTCTATCTTGGATACCCAGCAGAACTTAAAGATCTCCAGATGACTGCTACAGGGTTCTAATAAGTTTTCTCTAAGAGAAAGACTTTGAATCGATCTTACTTTATTTGAATCCAGCTTCATAACTTTCAAATCACTTCTTCTATACATATGAAATTGGCTTTATACATAAAACTCATAAAAAGCCTTATATTTGGACTAAGTTTCTTCTTCTTTGTTTGTTACTGAAGATAAACAATATGATTTCTAGATTTGTTAGTGCATACATGTACTTACAAAAGTTCCAGTCAGTCTGGCAGTCTTGAGCTGGTATCCTTTCTCACTTAACGAGGATGAGGTGGCAAGATCTCTGTAGATTCCTGAGATGGGTTTGGGGGACATTCTCCCTACCTGGTTTGAGTGATTTCCTGTTGAATTTCCATCTAAAAAAGATGATTCGAGAGGTTTCTTTTTCTCTAGCTTCGATTTTCAGGTTTAAATTGACAGAAATATATTAACTGGTACTGAGTGATGAAAAAAATTAAAAAATACACAACACAAACTTTGTTCATTTTCAATTTATGACTTCCAAATTGCAAGAAATCAAAATGGATCTGTTAAGCATACACATTTGTTTTAGTCCATTTCATTGAATTGATACTTTGAACAAACAAGAACACTCACAAAAACATGTGAATTCAAATTTCTTTAACCCAACTTTAGTAAATTGGTACTTTATCAAACAATTATTTATGTGTTGAATACTAGTCATAGAAATGTGGGCATTTAAGCCCAATGCACAAATAATATTTTGCTATTTTTGGAAAGAATATGTAAAAGTGATCAATGTTACTATTTACATACAACATTTATTATCAAGCACTAGCTGTAGCCCAGGTATATCCAACTAATAATATTGGCAGATGGCCAGTAGGGTGGATTTCTCATAAGATCACCCCTTCTCCTTGACCTTCACTTGACCTTACAGGTCATCCTTACTTAGGGTTATGAATCCTCTATGGAATATCAGGTGCATGATTATGAGGTATGACTTGGTATGGATGCCTCATATGAAAATGTTCATGGCAACTTTAATAGAATAAAGCATCGTCTTACAAGCCTGTGTGTGAAGTAGGCTATGCTTGTCTTCAATATATAGCACCATGCATGGATGATCAAGACCTCATGATTTATATTGCTAAAAAAGTACATCTTAAAGTTTACCAATCACCAAAAATATTTGTTTTCTATGGGTTAGGAAGTATAGCCTATTCAAAATATGAGCTTCAGATATTGATTCTATAGAAAAATGTTGCAAGTTTACATAATCTTACAGTTGACAAAATATGGAACTTGTGAGTAACCTACATGTACTTGACCGCACACATACAAAATACAAACTGGCATATATAGAATAAGGCTTGCATGAACCAAAGTCTGACTTGACTTCCATGAGGGGGGGGGGGTAATGTTATTCTTTATTTTCTTTGTTACCATCCCTTAGCTCACAGAATACCTGCTAAAGGTTGTTGAGATTAGTTTACTGTATATTCTTAGGTGAACTGGTAAACTTTAAAATAATGTTCAGTCCGATGTTTTTACCTCATATTGAGGCAACTGTGATGAGAAGATACTTACTATTGGTTAATAATTTGCACTGAGCTTGGAGTCTGACCTTTACCACATCAAGAGGGTTCACTGGGGAGAGAGAAATAAAAGAGAGAATAAAGAAAATAAAGAAAGAATGCATATAGAAAAGGAGAGAGAAAAATACGTATAATGAGAGAGATAAATACAGAGAAAGGTAGACGGATAGAAAGAGAGAGAGAGAGAGAGAGAGAGAAGAGAGAGAGAGAGAGAGAGATAGAAGAGAGAGAGAGAGAGAGAGAGAGATGTGGGAAAAGAATTGATATGGATATTGGATAAGTACAATAATTACAATTTCTGTTGAATAAAGAGACAATATACCCTAAATTTGATGATTCAACTTCAATGAAATTATGAAATGTACACATGATGCATTTAAGGACGGTCATTGAAAGCTCTCCATGTACAGGAAGTATGCCATTTACAGCAATGGTGTATCTAGCAAAGGGTGAAGAAATGCACCCTGTGCTGCCCCATAATAATCCCAATCCAAGGTCCATGGGAATAATAGCACTTCCAGGAAGTCTTTGAATGGTGCTACCCAGATTCATCATCCCTACCCCCACCCCAACACACACCATCCTGTCTAGAGAGGATTTCACCCACCCCCCCCCCCCCCCCCTCCCTCACCTCCCTACATATCAATATCTGGATAACCCACTGATACAATAAATGAAATAAGAATTTGATGGTAATTGTACACTGCCTAGAATAGAATAAAATGGATCTGAACATGCAGTACCCTATTCCTATTCAGCTCCCTAAACAAAAGAGGCAATTCCAGGTCAAGTAAACACCCACAGAGAATGAGAACCCAAACAGTTGCTATTGTTTACTTCAAGATAATTATCTTCGTCAACTGAGGTCACCAGATATTAAAGCAAGAGATGGTGTCAGACGGCCCAAATATTCTATTTAGTCAACAAATATATAATAGAAAAACAGTACAATGAAGGCCTGACCCCCCCCCCCCCCCAACAAAAAGTGAAGCTTCTGAAAGTCTGCAGTGAATGTCACAGACTTTGTAGAGAGTGTTGAATTTCATATCCGGAACTTGAGGAGGATCAGGAAGTTCAGTATGTACTAGTTCAACAAAAGTAAGGCATGAGACTAGAGACTTGTTCATATCAGGTCCTTGTTCATACTGTACATACAATTCTGGCCCTGTATTACCTGACAAGCGAACAAAAATATCCACTAGTTGGCTTATAATAATAACAAAGCAGATCACAGGAAAATATTGGGAGGATCACAATGACTCATAACTGTTGAAAGCTCTGGAACTGCACAATTGAGACATGACTGCACAGTATCAGTGTACCGGTAGACTGTTATGACACTGTACAGCCAAAGATAATTATGAGAAATTTAAAGTTTAGAAAAGTGTCAATTATCCTAATTATGGTGCAGAATTACAGATTCAAGACTTATAAGTACATTATAATACCAGTATTCACAAGATAATTTGAATTTTGAAGCTCACTGGTATGGGATCTACATACTCTATACCACATGTGATTACCTTCTTGAACTACACGTAGCGCTTCAATTTCAAAACAAACACTGCCACAGCTACTACAATGTTGAAAGCCAACACTTCTCTTGGTAAACAGAACATTTATAAATATTGATCAGGATTCAGTTCCTCTGTATGCCTGCAATGCTAGATCTACATGTACTATGCACCACTACAGGCATACAGTAGACCAATAGGCCTCTATGCCTGTAAATGTGCGCTATGTCCAGCTAATGTCCAGCTACTAGTAGCCAGTACATGTATTATGGGAACAACATTTAGTGGGGAATAAGATTCTTAACTGGAAACTTTGTTGAAGTATTTTCTTCATGGTACACTGAAGTACTGTAGAAGCTCTTGCTGTAGACTTTAGACAGAAATAACTGTCTGATGTGGAGAAACTCGTTTACAAAACTGTATTTGTCATCTTTCCCCATAGGCTGACAGATGGCATATTATTAAGACTTTCCTATACCAGACAAGGCAACTGCCCCCCCCCCCCCCCCCAACTTCAATGAATCTAGATCAACTAGTTTAATTATCTTTTTATGCCAAATTAGTGAAGCATAACATTATGTACTGCTTACCTAACTGCTCTACTTTTGAGTTAAAAACATGCATGCAACTGCTTCTTTCACAAAAGAACAGTACACAATTTTTTCTAAACACAAACTCTGACAATGATGATTACAATGTTTACAAAATATTCTTGGAACAAAATTCTATAACTGATCATTAGGCTTATTGTACAAAATCAGGAAGGATACATCGTCTGTTTATAGCCAGAAGGGTGTTAACTCTATTTCAAAGTATATGAGTTGACACCCCTATGGCTCTCTCTCTCTCTCTAAAAAAAAACACAACACACTTATTATATCAGTAGCTTAAAGCCATTTTATCTCAAAGCGTAGATACCTCATTATTGTTGCCATGCAAGGACACATATCACATGGCTAGGAGTGTGCAGTCAAACTACATGTATTGACTTCTTATTTGTCCGAGTCAGAGAATCAATGGACTGTACCATTGTTTGGGTCATCCTGCTAAGCACATGCGAGGTCACTTGTTCTAAGAACTGACCAGACTGATATTACGCTTTACCTGCAGTACAGAACATGATGGATGCAGATCTTCCATTCCTAATACAGTACGAATTATGTAGCCAGTTTGGAAGGGGGGGGGGGGGTGAGAGAAAGTGGGAGGTGGGGATGAAGTAGTACTGCATGAAAACTGAAGAGTGCATATTGCATGGTCTGCGTTTTCCAGGTGCCATTACAAGTTTTTTTTCTTTTTAACCAATTAAATATCAGGTAGACCTATAACAAGGCCTCTGTAGTCCGGTCACTAGTCAGTCTTTCAAAATAACAAAAACAAACTATTTCCTCACCACAAGCCAGCAATCTGAAAACAAATTTTCTTCAATATGGTACAATTAAGAAGTAGATAAACCTACCTATTACTTTCTTGTGAGGATATTGCCTATTTGGAGGATATTGCCTATTTGGAGCCAAAAGGGATTTAAGTCTGTGTTTAAGTATACATGTATGATGTATATGAGTAAGCACCTTTCTGGCTCCATCAACACAGACAATTCTGTCTTTTGATGCTGCATAAGGGAGATGGGAGAGCATTAGAAAAACTGGTAAATTACCTCCTAATAATAATTTCTACACCTCTTAAGTCTTGAATCAATGTTCACATGGATGGCTTTGAAGTTTAATCCTCATTCTACATTCATTTTTTTTTTCTCTTGTAAGTTATCTTTATAGATGTTTTTCTTCTTATGGAAAATATTCAAAATTTTCTAAACTTCACAATTAGATCTGCATGCATGTCTGACTTTAACCTATCCAGGGTGGACTTTCGACACTATTTCTCTTCTTTGATGGTACATGTATATCAACCAAGTGACAGGTTCCCTGGTAATGATTTTGAAATCTAATATATCAGAAATCATATTTAAAAGAAGATAATTCTTTATAAGAAAACTAGCTATCTTCCATATTGAAGTAAAGTATACTCACTTGTCACCGACATGAAAACTGTCCCAACTCCAGAAGCAATTGACCTTTGCAACGGTGTGATATCATGGTGATGGTGATGATGATCAACATATCTGTGATGGATATTTTTCTCAGATTCACCGCCACTGGCCTTTGCAATTTCCCCGACAGCAGCAGGTATGACGGCCTGATGTTGAGGGGATTTCCTTCTCACATTTTGAGGCTCTGTAATTGTCTTTCTGCTACCTCCATGCACTAGCCCAGGCTGCCCAGGATGATGATGATGGACTGATTTACCTTTGGCTAGTTTAGGTCCGGTCGGTGTACCTCCAGCTCCATCAGTCCCCGTAATACTCCTGTTTCTAGGGCGTGTTGATGAGGGCAGGGGATGCCAGTGTAAATGGGGCACGCTAGCCGCTGCAAAACTTCTCGAGTTTGCTAAGCGTGACGAACTTGTCAGGTCCATTTTGATGCCTCCTTTCCTCACGAAGAATTCTTCTCCAACGCTGCAGCAAGTATCCAGATACCATGAATTGACGAAAATCTCTCAAAGTCCTAAGGCAATAATCAACTTCAAGACTCCAGAGTCTATCAGAATGATGGATTTATATAACTTAAAGCCATGACCTGCAAGTTGAAAATGTGATATATGGAAAAGATCAATCGGTGTAGCGGTAGACGATATTTCAGTTTACCAGAGCGGGAGCAAAACTTGTGTCAGTTGTGGTCAATTATTCACAAACTCACGTAACATCTGTTGTTCCGAGTGTAACCATGTGTAAATTAAGATTCTTCTGTACAATGTGTATGTTGGTGGTGCCGTTTTGCACAAGGCAAAACGGCAGTGGCCTCCTCCCTCAGTTATTCCATCTCAGAAATGTCTGTAGCAATGCTCTCTACTATGCACGCTACATGTGCATTGTAAACAAAGGCACGAGGGATTGTTTACATCCTCAGTACTGAGATCGTTGCTCTACTACGCATGCCCAGTAGATGACGCATTGGAGATGCGCGCTTGTACCCTGGGCATCTAGGTACGTGATACGTGAGGTCTATATATGGCGTGATCATTAAAGGCCGAGTACACTCCAAAATAATTTACTTTGAATATATTATTGATTTTTATATAAGTAGTTTATCAAAATTCACACTATTCATGATTTAACTATAAAAAAATAACTCTATATTAATTTTTGCCCTGAACTTACACCAGCATCCAATTTATATTAATAGGTTTTTGTGTGGATGCACTAATAGGGCATCCATACAAAACGTATTAGATCTAATATAAATTGGATGCTGGTGTAATAAGTTCAGGGCAAAAATTGGAAATTTATATTATCCATGTAAAGAAAACAATTAGTGGATAGTGAGGCAATGAAGTCACAGACTCATGAGTGAGTTACCAAATTGTCTTGTAATTTTCAAGTTTTCATTCAGTTCAGTTTCAGTTCATCAGTTTATTCATGTCATTAAAAATTCACAACTTTCATATTAGTTATCCGATTTTGCTCAAACTTTTTTTGATTGGTGTGTCTGATCTTTCTGCTTCTATTGAAAGTAAGTTAAAGACGAGTTAGCCAAAGTAGATCGATGCGAGCGCATTTGATTTGAAAGGGAAGGGGAGAAAAGGGGGGGGGGGGGGGGCAATTTGCCTTCCAGCAAATTTCGGACCAAAACTGAGTTTTTAGTCAAATTTGGAAATCTAAGACATCATTGCAATGAATGATTATCAAACTACAAATAAAACCTCATCGACAAACACAAAATCTGCAGTAGGCCTACTGTCGCTAATATGCAGTTCGTAAGCGCTCCGGGGGAGAGGGCATGGGGCACGGCAGTGCCTCCACTTTTATAGGTACCCCCAAAGTGATCCTTTTTAACATTAGACAAGTGCCCCTTTTCCTTTGTAAGACTGCCCCTTCCCCTTCTGACAAGCGCCCCTTTTTCCTTTGATAAGTGCACCAACATTTTGTTCATAACATCCCCTTCACTTTCTCATAAATGTCCCTTTTCATCTCGTTAAATGCCCCATTAAAATCTGATAATTGCCCCTCTTCCTTCGACAATAATTGCTCATTTTCCTTTGCAATACGTGTCCCTTTTCCATTCTCATAAGTGCCCCTTTTCATCTCTGGTAAGTGGTAAGTGCCCTCTTTCAGGTACGAGATAATGTACCGACTAATAATGTAATGAACATGTACCGACGGTTGATAATGATGCATCGAAACTTTGAAAATCCATAAACTCTTTCACGGATTGTTCTAATTTGTTCAAACTTAGTTTGTTCTTCTTAATTAAATAAACAGTCTGTCTGACTTGCATTCTTCTTTAATTTAAATCATAGACAAGACTAGCGAGTTTTTCTTAGCTCTAATTCAACCACAAAAATTATCTTTTTGAAACCTTTTCTTGTTTTTTGTTTTTGTTAAGGGGGGGGGCCCCACGAACCCCTAGTTTGTACGGTCTTGCTTATTCAAATTTGACACTCAGTGTTCATTATCTCACAAAACATTATTTTGTGTAGCGCCCTCTATTACAAATTCAACAGTGTCTTGTACTTGTTTCACGTCAAAAAAGGAAATTGATAACCACCTCCTTGGTAGTGTGATCATAATCATGATGATGGAGGGGTATATACCAATGTATACAAATTGTGTATGTTCACTTACAGGTTTCCCTTTGGCTTTGTGGTATGCCCCTTTTTTGGTCTCCAGAAAGTTGGGCGTCCCCCCCCCCCTCCCACTGTGGAAGACGCTCCGCCGCCCCTGCGTGAAGCATAAATTCATATAGGTTACTCTTAATTTTGGAAAAATGAACAGCATTCTGATTATGATCTGAATACAATCTAATTATAACTCCTATGCAAATATGCTATTATGATCAGCGCACTATAACTGATAGAAAGAAAAAAATATTCGTTAGGAAATATTATTGTTTCTCAAAATGCTATACAGAACTTATGCTGTTTTTTTTTTTTAATCCCACCTATACAAACCCCGACTTTGAATAATACGGGTAAACCGGGCCCCCGTATACACCGCCCCCGTTTCCTTTCCTTAAACCAAGAAGCTATAAAAGCTCTCATAAAGTTGACACGTCACACATATTTTTGTTATATGGAAACCTGTAGGTGCAGCTATTATAGGACCAAGGATCTAAACCAAGGGTGTCGATTTGTATCCGTGGTGG